GAGAACCTGAACATTTTGATAACAAGCAATGAAACTGAAGCAGTAATCAGCAATCTTCCAAAAAAGAAAAGCCCAGGGCCAGATGGCTTTACAGCTGAATTTTATCAAACCTTTAAAGAAGAATTAATACCACTTCTACTCAAACTTTTCTTAAAAATTGCAACAAAAGACATTCTCCCAAACTCATTCTATGAGGCCAGCTTCACCCTGATACTGAAACCAGACAAAGATACAACATGAAAGAAAATTATAAGCCAATATCCTTGATGAACATAGAAACAAAAATCCTCAACAAAATATCAGCAACCACAATACAGCAGCATATCAAAACAATTATACACCATGATCAAGTTGGATTCATCCCAGGAATGCAAGATAGTTCAACATACTCAAGCCAATATATGTGATATGTCACATCAACAAAAACAAAAACATATTACCTCAACTGATGCAGAAAAAGCATTCATCAAAAATTCAATATCCCTTCATGACAAAGACTCAGCAAATTAGGTATAGAAGGAAATTACCTCAATTCAGTATAAACCATTTACTACAAACCAATCACCAATATCATCCTAAATGGAGAAAAGATAGAGAACAAATGCTGGTGAGGAGGTGGGGAAAGGAAAATTCTTCACACTGTTGGTGGGACCATAAATTAGCAGAGCAATTACTGAAAACATTGTGGAGGTTCCTCAAACAACTACAGATAGAACTGCAATATGATCCAAAAAACCCACTACAGGGTATATATCCAAAGGAATGGAAATCATCATGTCGAAGGAATACCTGCACTCCCACCTTTAATGCAGCTCCATTTACAATAACCAAAATATGAAATTAACCTAGGTATTGTAGTATATATACACAGTGGAATACTACTCAGCCATAAAAAAGAATGAAATTAGGGCCGGCCCGGTGGCGCACTGCTACAGTGCGCTGCTTGGGAGCGCGGCGACGCTCCCGCCAAGGGTTCGGATCCCACATACAGACCGGTTCCCGCTCACTGGCTGAGCGAGGTGCGGGCGCGGCACCGAGGGTTGCGATCCCGTTGCTGGTCCCGGTCCGGTACAGGCACGACACTGAGGGTTGCGATCCGTTGCCGGACACGAAAATAAAAAAATGACAAAAAAAAAAAAAAGAATGAAATTATGCCATTTGCAGCAAAATATATGAACCTGGAGAAAATTATGTTAAGTGAAATAAGCCAGACATGGAAAGGGAAATAGCACATGTTCTGGGTGCTAGGAATCCAGAAGGAAGGAAGTAAAGACAGAAAGAAAGAAAAGACCACAACAATACGTTGAATTTTACAAACCTAAGGATATAGATAGGTGAGTGGGAGAGAGGGGTTTTGGGGAGTGATAGGTCAGGTAAAAGGCATAAAGAAATATCACGATTTGTAATAATGAATATGGTAATAACAAATAATAAATTTTTTTTTAAAGCTAATTTTAAGCTAGGTCCACAATCAAGTACTAGTTAAATAAACTGACATAAAATGGAATGTTATATAACCAATAACAAAAAGAAACACTTTTATATGTACTAATAGAAGGATCTCTAAGACACATTTATAAAATAGAAAACTACATATAATTTCATACTTATTCTACACCAGTTTAAAAAAAAACATTCTCTAAACAAAGGATAAAAATTTTTTTGATTATATAAAATTTGAAATAGTGTATCATGTTAAAGAAAGTCCTCTTTAAAGCACAAATGAAAGAAAAATCAGCTAGAAATCTTGGACCTGAGCAAAGGGATGAGGAGCACCAGAGATTAACTGCTCGTAAATATACATATTCCTATTGCCTAAATACCTATTAAAAGTAAAAACAGATACAAAGTTTTATGGACTTTATGACATATATAAAATTTTTGATAATGATATCTGAAGGCCAGGAAGCAACAGAAGCTCTTACACTATACATATAGCAGCACAAAGACACCAACTTTTGCTAGAAGATACCCCTTAAGATTATCAACTACTGTTCACATACCGTTACATAATGATGCAATATAAAAATAGATACTATTAACGCTACAAAGTACTTCAAAAGTTATACCTAATCAGATCAGGAAAAAGATAAAACTGAATCACTAAAAAATACTCTAATCCAAGGGAAATCAGAAAAAGAAAAGGGGAAAAAATAACAACAAGTGCAAAACAAACACTGAGAATGTTGACTAAAACCCCATTATGTCAATAATCACATTAAATGTGACTATATTAAGAGCACAGATTGTCAGATTAAATAATTCTCAAAGGTCAAAATATACCACTAACTACAGAAATTTGCTTCTATAATTTAAATCTATAAATTTAAAGACTCATAGTATACATGATATAATTAGTACTATGCCAGCACTAAAATTATATATACCAACCCCGTTTTACAAAAAATAAAGTTTAATGACTATTTTAACATTAGATAAAGTTGATTTCAAAAGTATAACCATGATAAAAAGGACAATTTAGTAATGATAGAGATCAAATTTCCTAGGGGCCCTAACAATTCTAAAATCCAAGCAACAAAAATACATGAAGCAAAAGGTGACAGAACCAAGAGTTGAAACAGACCAACCAATAGTTACAGTCAGAGACTGCAATACCCATTTCTCAATTACTGACAGACACAACTAAAAAAAAAAAAAATTAACTTTCAAACACTGTTGAAGTCCTTGAAAAACACCACCAATCAACTTGACCTAACTGACATTTACATACCACTCCACCCAGCAGTAGCAATACGCAATTTTTCTCAAGTAAAAGCAAAATACTCACTGAGAAAGATGATATAATAAATCTCAATACATACATTGCAAAAGTATTGAGTTCATGCCAAGTATATTCTTTAACCACAAAGGAGTTATATTAAAAATCAGTAACAGACAACAATCTAAAAACCCCAAATATTTGGAAGCTATGTAACACATTACAACGGGTAAAAATAGAAATCAAAAGGACAACCAAAAGCAGTCATAAGCTGCATGATGACATTTCAATCTTACAAAATAGACAAAAACATACCATTGTGGTCCCATAAGATTATAACAGCTATACTATATAGCCAAGATGTGTATTAGGCTATACAATCTAGATTTGTGTAAGTACACTGTACCATGTTCACACAATGATGAAATCACCTGATGATGCATTTCTCAGAATATACCCACTATTGCTTACTGAAGAATAAACTAAAGCAATTCCCTGGAAAAAGCCTCTTTTCAACAAATAATGCTGGAACAAGTGAAAATCTATTTGTTAAAAAAAGTGAGTTTTGAGGCCAGCCCGTGGCTCACTCGGTAGAGTGCGGTGCTGATAACACCAAGGCTGCGGGTTCGGATCCTATATAGGGATGGCCGGTTTGCTCAGTGGCTGAGCATGGTGCTGACAACACCAAGCCAAGGGTTGAGATCCCCTTACCAGTCATCTTTAAAAAACAAAGTGAGTTTTGGATCCAAACCTTGCACTACATGCAAAAATTAGCTACAAATAGATCACACACCTGAGTAAAAACATACAACAAAACATTAAAAGGATGACTCATTTTATTGCACTTGCTTTACTGCACTTCACAGATATTGCATTTTTTCTAAATTGAAGGTTTGTAGCAAGTATTTATAGCCTCCATTTTTCCAACAGCATGTGCTCACTTCATGTCTGTGTCACAGTTCAGTGATTCTAACAATATTTCTAACTTTTCACTGTTATTATAACTGTTGTGCTGATTGTGATCAGAGATCTTTGAGATTACTAGTATAATTGTTTTGAGACGCCACTATCAACACCCTTATAAAATGAGAAAATTAAGCAATAGATCTGTGTTCTGACAGTTCCACTCCTCAGCCTTCCTTCTGCCCCAGCCCCTCCCCTCCAATGAATCTCTCCCTCTCCCTCTCCCCATGCCCCCCCATTCCTCAGACACAACAATATTGAAATTAGGCCAATGAACACTACAATGGCCTCTACTTAGCCAAGCTGTGACTACAAAGGAAAAGTATTGAAGGAAATTAAAAGTGCTACTCCAGTGAATGATAAGAAACCAAAACATTCTTATTTCTTATATTGAGAAAGGTTTAGTGGTCTGGATAGAAGATCAAACCAGCCACAACAGTTGCTTAAGCCAAGTGTAAGCCTGTGCAAAGACCTAACTCTCTCTAATTCTATGAAGGCAGAGAGAGGTAAGGAAGCTGCAGAAGAAAAGTTTACACTAGCAGAGATTATTAGTACACGAGGTTTATGAAAAATAGCCATCTCCATACATAAGAGTCGAAGGTGAAGCAGCAACTGCTGATGTACAAGCTGCACAAGTGTTCCAGAATATCCAGCTAAGATAACTGATGAAAGCACCTACACTAAAAGACAGATTTTCAATGTAGATGAAATATCCTTCTATTGGAAAAAGATGCCATCTAGGACATTCATAGCTAGAGAGAAGTCAATGCATATGACTCTTGTTAGGAGCTAACACAGCTGGTCACTTTAAACTGAAATCAAAGTCCATTTACCATTCCAAAAATCTTATGGTCCTTAAGAATTCTGCCAGCTCTACTCTGTGCTCTATAAATGAAAAACAAAGCCTGGATGACAGCACATCTGTTTATGGCACAGTTTACTGCATATTTTAATTTTAAGCCCACTGTTGAGAACACTATTCAGAAAAAAAAATTCCTTTCAAAGTGTTATTTATTGCTCACTCACAATGCACCTGGGCTCTTGCACCCAAGAGCTCTAGTGGAGAAGTACTAGCAGATTAATGTTATTTTCATTACTGTTAACACAACATCCATTCTGCAGCCCAGGGATTAAGAAGTAATTTCAACTTTCAAGTCCTATTATTTAAGAAATACATTTTGTAAGGCTATAGCTACCATAGATAGTGAATCTTCTGATAGATCTGGGCAAAGTAAATTGAAAACCTTCTGGGAATGATTAACCATTGAAGATGCCATTAAAAACATTTGTAATTCGGTTGCTTTCTATGGTAGCTTGTGAGTCAGGGTGGTCTTTGTGAGATTCCACCATGGCGTACCGTGGCCAGGGCCAGAAAGTGCAGAAAGTGATGGTACAACCGATCAAGCTCATCTTCAGATACCTGCAAAATAGATCCTGGATTCGGGTGTGGCTCTATGAGCAAGTGAATATGCGGATAGAGGGCTGTATTATTGGTTTTGATGAGTATATGAACCTTGTATTACATGATGCAGAAGAGATTCATTCTAAAACAAAGTCAAGAAAACAACTGGGTCAAATCATGTTAAAAGGAGATAATATTACTCTGCTACAAAGTGTTTCCAACTAGAAGTGATCAATGAAGTGAAAACTGTTGAGAAGGCAATACAATTTGTTTTTTTCAGTATCCTTTTATGGGAGTATAGTTCCGAAACATCTGTTCCTATTGTTTTGATTACCCTTGTGTTATTACCAGATAACAATAAATGCTGTGGTATTGTTTTTATTTAAAAAAAAAATTTTGAAATTCACGTTCAAAATATCAGCATTAACAGGAGTTTGGAGAAGTTAATTTCAACCTTCATGCATGACTTTGAGGGGTTTAAGACTACAGTGGAGGAAGTAACTGCAGATGTGGGGGAAACAGCAAGAGAACTAGAATTAGAAGTGGGGCCTAAATATGTGACTGAATTGCTGCAATCTCACAGTAAATTTCCACAGATGAGGATTTGCTTCTTATGGATAAGCAAAGTGGTTTCTGGAGAGGAATCTACTCCTAGTGAAGATGCTATGAACACTGCTTAAATGACAACAAAGGATCCTGAATATTACATAAACTTAGATGATAAAGCTGTGTCAGGGTTTGAGAGGACTGACTCCAATTTGGAAAGAAGTTCAATTGCGGATCAAATGCTATAAACAGCATTGCATACTACAGAGAAACCTTTTGTGAAAGGAAGAGTCAATTGACGCAGCAAACTTCGTTGCTGAGTTGTTTTAAGAAACTTGCCACAGCCACCCCATCCTTCAGTAACCACCATCCTGATCAGTGTGCAGCCACCAACACTGAGGTATACCATCCACTTGCACAAAGTTTACAACTACAGAAGGCTCAGATGATAGCATTCTTTTAGTAATACAATATTTTTAAATTAAGGTATACACACTGCTTTCTTAGACATAATTTTATCGCACACTTAATATATTACAGTATAGTGTAAATATAACTTTTATATGTACTCAGAAACCAAAAAATTTGTCACTTGCTTTCTTGCAATACTCACTTTATTGCAGTAGAATAGAACCCACAATATCTCTGACATATGCCTGTATAAGAAAATATATGAGACTATTTTTCTGATCTTGCTCTAAGCAAAAAGACCTTTTGGATAAAGCAATGAAAGCAATAAAAATCATTTTTAAAAGATTTTTTTAAATCTACAGAAGAAAAATAATGAAGTGAACATCATAAAATTGAAAACTTCTCTTCAAAATACACAAAACAATAAAGAGAGAAAGTGGGAGAAACATTTTACAAATAACATATCAGATAAAGAACCCAAATCAGAATATATATAATTTTTTAAAAACTTTCAGTACTCAGTAAGGAAAAAAAATTTAATTTTAAAAAAATGGGAAAAGATTTGACCAAGTACTTCAAAGAATACAGAGCAAATAAGCATATGATAAGTTGCTCATTTTTTCAAGAATAAGTGAATTGTTATTGACATGCAAAAAAAAATGGTAGAATCTGAAAATAAGATGAGGGAAAGGAGAAAAATTAAAACACATAGTCATCCATCATCAGGGGTTGGTGCCAGGGCCTCCCTCAGATACCAAAATCCATAGATGCTTAAGTAGGTGATATAAAATGGGGTAGAATTGCTATATAAGCTATGTACATCCTCCTATTTACTTTAAATCTCTAGATTACTTAACAATATTTAATACAATGTAAATGCCACATAAAAAGTTGTTGCACCATATTTTTCAGGGAATAATGACATGAAAAAAAGACTATGTTCAATACAGGCACCGCTTTTTTTTTTAAAGATGACCGGTAAGGGGATCTTAACCCTTGACTTGGTGTTGTCAGCACCACGCTCACCCAGTGAGCTAACCGGCCATCCCTATATGGGATCCGAACCCGTGGCCCTGGTGCTATCAGCACCTCCCTCTCCTGAGTGAGCCACGGGCCGGCCCCAGGCACCACTTTAAAAAAAATTTTTTCTTTTTTTTTTTGTCCTTTTTGAGACCGGCTGCACCTCACTCAGCCAGTGAGCACTGTGAGCGCACCAGTCATCCCTATATAGGATCCGAACCCGTGGAGGGAGCGCTGCTGCGCTCCCAGCACCACACTCTCCCGAGTGCGCCACGGGCTCGGCCCTAAAAAATATTTTTGATCTGTAGTTGAATTCACACATATGGAACCCACAGATATGAATATATTTTATATAATTCCATTTACATAAAATTCCAGAAATGTAAACTAATCTTACTGACACAAAGCAGATCAGTGAGTGCTTAAAACTGCTTCTTTCTCTCTCTGCATTTCTAAACCACTGCCTGAGTTCAAATTTAAATGTCATATTCAGGATGTTAATATTTATCTTGTAATAAGCACCCACTATAAGCTAGTCCCAATGCTTTACATAAATTTTCTTCCCTAACACAAAATGCAATATCCTACAAAAAAACAACAAATAAATAAAATATTTTTTTAAGAAATGCAATATCCTGAAAAGAGTACTTCCAGTAAGGGCTGCATGAAGGGCAGAGGTGAACATCCTCTACAAAAAAGAAGAGAAGGGAGGAAGAAGAAGAGAAATAGAAAGAAGTGGAAAGAAAAGATATATACACAAATTTCAAAGTTAACAAAAACTTCAGGAAACTGAAAATAGACCAAAGGAAAACAAAACTTGAGAAGCTTTTATTATTCTGGAAAAGGTGCTAAAGCCTCAACACTACAATGCTGACTTAGCAGGTAAGAAATAAGCAGATTTGCTGCCAGAAGAGACAGATGTGACTCAGGATGCCAGTGAAAAACCAAAAAGTGACAAACATGGAAATGAGTGGAAAAAATCCATAGCTTCACTAGCCTGAGTTTGCAACCCAAATTTGGGCAGAGCAACATACCAGTTAAATTTTTTAAAGGAGAGATCTTAGAAATAAGAAAACCAGTGATGGTCAAAGGAAGCTCTCCAATCCATTCCTGGCTGACTGAGAAATCACACACACACAAGGAAGACCCAAGAGAATCTTAAGAAACTGCAATTTTTAATGTGTTCTACAATCCACACAATAGAGCTAAAAATCACAATAATTGAAATGAAGAAAAGGAAAGTAGATATACTCAATAGATGTAGCAGAAAAATCAGTTAACTTTAAGATACATCAACAGAAATTGTCCAACCAAAAAAAAAAAAAAAAACCACATTGAACAAAAATAGAGCTTCAGATACCTTTTGAGATCATGTCAAGCATTACAAACTAAATGTAATGGTAGTCCCACAGAGAAAGAGAAAAAAGATAGCAGAAAAATACCTCCTCCCAACTTCAATTTTTTAAAAGTTAAGTTATAGGGGGCCGGCCCGGTGGCGCATTGCTACAGTGCGCCGCTTGGGAAGCGCGGTGGCGCTCCCGCCGAGGGTTCGGATCCCACATACAAACCGGTTCCCGCTCACTGGCTGAGCGAGGCGCGGGAGCAACTCCGAGGGCTGCGATCCCGTTGCCGGTCCGGTACGGGGGCGACACTGAGGGTTGCGATCCGTTGCCGGACACGGAAAAAGACAAAAAGAGAAAAAAAAAAAAAAAACACTATATACCAAACAGACCTAACAGACACAACCCAACTACACCAGAATATACATTCTTCCGAAGCACACAAGGAACAAACCCAAGACAGACCACAAGTTAGGACACATAATAAATATTAAAAATTTTAAGAAAACTGAAAATACACAAGTTATCTTCTGTGACCACAACAAAATGAAACTAGAAATCAACATATATCTGATGAGAGATTAAAAAATTAGAATATGTATAAGTTGTTATATATGTAACTCAATTAAAAAAATTAAAAAGTAGGCAAAGGATTTAAATAAAAATTTCTCCAAAGAACATATACAAATAGCCAATAAGCACATGAAAAGATTCTGAACATCACTAATCATGTGGGAAACACAAATCAAAACCTACAAGATACCACCTCACACCCACTAGGATGGCTATGTTTGGGGGGGGAAAAAAAACATAAAATAAGTGTTTGCAAGGATGTAGCGAACCTTTGTGCACTATTAATAGAACTGCATAATGATACAGCACCTGTGAAAAACAGTATGGTGGTTCTTCCAAAAATTAGAAATAGAATTACCATTTAATCTAGTAATTCTACTTCTGGTTACGTACCCAAAAAAACTGAAAGCAGGGACTGCAAATCCATGCATTATTCACAGTAGCTAAAACATGTAGTCAACCCAAGTATGCACTGAGGAATGATCACATAAGCAATGTGTGATTTACCATGTAATCACATGGTAAATACAAACAATGGAATGTTATTCAGTCTTAAAGAGGAAGGAAATTCTGACATATGCTACAACATGACAGAACCTTGAGGACATTGTATGAAAAATAAGCCAGTCACAAAAAGACAAATATTGTATGATTCCACTTAAATGAGGTATTTATGGTAATCACAATCACAAAGATGGACAGCAGAATGGTGCCAGGGACTGAGAGTAGAGAGGAATGGCAAGTTATTACACAAACGGATTTAGTTTGCATCACAAGATGAAAAATTTCTGGAGATGAATGGTGGTGATTGCTGCACAACTAAAATATGATTAAGATGGTCAATTTTCTGTAAGCTGTATTTAATCATAACAAATGAAGTAATACTTGCCAATGTAAAAACTTAAAAGGAAAATAAAACAGCATATATAAAAACATAAAGTAAAAAGTTTACAAGTCTTCTCTCTCCCTCACCTCAGTTATTTATTCTGGAAGAAGTCCATTCTTAAGTATTCCTGAGAATCTTTCCAAAATTTTGTCAATCAATTTCTTATACTGGCCTATAAGAACCAGCGTTCACTCATTTGAGGATCCCAGTTAAGAACAATGCAAGCAAACATTACAAAATGAGATCAGAGAAGAGAACAGGAAGCAGATTATCGTTTGAACATCTGCTAAGAGCTAAAATCTGAATTTTTAAATCATGCTTTTCTATATAACATTAGATGAACTGCTATTGTGTAAGTAAAAATAATAATAAACTTCAAGAAACAACTCTATTCTATTAAGAAAAAGCCATTAAAACTTTTAAGTTGTTAAACCGATATTTATTGTGAAATTTTAAAGTACTTCACATATTTCTTCTGCACTG